ACAAATATACTTTCAGAGGAAATATTAATTACTTTTATGTAACATTTTGTAAGGGAGTTATATGAATCTTTTTCGACGTCTGAAACATTTCATTCTTAAATTTAATCCAGCAGCGATTGCTGCTTTATTTTATTCACGAGAATAAGCAGAGATTTACTATATTTACTATATTTAGATCAAGGATGATATATAATCCCTGTCTCGAACAGTTACATAATAGTTCTAACTTTTAACAAGTATGTTACCTTGAATGATTGTTTCAGCCCTCCATTATCAGCAATGTTCTCCCCCTGAGTTATCCTCCCATTGATAATATATAATCCCTGTCTCGAACAGTTACATAATAGTTCTAACTTTTAACAAGTATGTTACCCTGAATGATTGTTTCAGCCCTCCATTATCAGCAATGTTCTCCCCCTGAGTCATCCTCCCATTGATATACAGATCAACTTCCTGCAGCTTGTATTTGGAATACTGTTCCACTATGCATTGAGCCCTTTCCCTGAAAGCCTTCACAGTGGCGTTGTTCCACCACTGCATCATGTTCCCATCTTTGTCGAACTGACGCCCCTTGTCATCGAAACCGTGGGTAATCTCATGACCAATTACTACACCTATTCCACCGTAGTTCAATGACTTTGGAAAGTGCTGCGAGTAGAAGAGTGGCTGAAGGATTCCAGCTGGAAAGACTGAGGAGTGAATAATATGATAAATTTCTTATTGAATCAATAATATATTTCCTGAATGAAATTAGAATCAAATTAGAAATTATTCTTCTACTAAATTATAGTTATACTATGTTAGTAACTATTTTGTATCATATTGTACTATTATATTTGACACTATGTTAGAAATTGCAAAATTTATTCTCAATTACGTTTGAAGCAATTTCCTTTAAATAATTAGACGCTTGGATATTTAATTCAATTTTTCTGACTTTTTGAACTAGAACTCTGATTGGAAAAAGAAAAAGAAGAAAAAGAAAGACAACAATCCGAGTTACCAATGTCGTTTTTATTGGGGTTGTAGAAGGCATTCACCACGGCTGGCTCTGTAGACCATTTATCTTTATCAACTGGCTTCCGTAACTTCTCGAGATTATGATAAGCGTCGTACTTCAGTACGGCTAACACGTTCTCAAGGAAATGATTCTCCGTGATATTCAACTACGAATGCGAAAGACAGTTTAAAAAACAGATTACAAGTACGTGACTGTGAATTATTTAGAATCGAAATACATCGTGTAATTACAAATGATTAATGGTTACGTTACAGTGAAAGAAAAATGTATATCACTTTATGGTATATATGTATCGTCGAGTAAAATAATAAAGCGATACCATCACGTATTCCTTTGAAAGCTCTTCGGGATCCTTTAAAAATTCTGGATACCCGATTCTTTCGTTCATGGAGTTAGCTTTGCTTTTCGCCACGGCTCTGGTTTCGTTGTCCATCCAATGATTTTCAACTAATAATTCGTTGAACGCCTCTCGTATCGTGCGGATCATTTCTAACGCTGTCTCCTGAAAATCAAATCGCCCACAATTATCAGATGTAGATATAGCAGTAAATTATCAGAACAATAACAATTGAATTTACTCAGTTAAAATTATATTCGAAGCTCGGGGAATTCTCACGATTTTATCATTTTAACATGGAAATTTTCTGATTATTCTATTATTTTTTAAATTACTTCCCAAAGAATTTTAACAAGTGAAATTAACATTCAAGTTTCATTTAAATCCTCCATTTTTCAATATCAATTTTTCTAAAATTCATTCGCCGAGAATAAACGAATGCGGAGCAATTCACCTTGCTGTCGTGGTTGAAATTGTCACGAATGAAAAGTGCACCAACAGCCATGCCAAGCTTTTTATTCGTCCACTCGACGCATTGCGACCATCTGTCCCTTTCGCTTAGTATGCCCAACAGAATTTTCCGGAATTCCACCCTCTTCTGCTGGTATTCGTCTATCATGTGAGGCATTATCGACATCACCAGCCTCCATAGTATGTAATTGTGCAGCGTTCTGTTGGAAAATTTAAGGCAGACGTTGGAACGTAAAAAGTATTCTATAAAATTGAAATTCTATGGAGGAAATGTAACATGTGACCTTTCTGTCACAAATGAAACAGAAGGAAAGAGATGGAAATTTTCAATGTATCACAAATATTTCCCCCCCCCCCCGTTACCTCCGATCCGTTCTCTGCACGATACGACCCATCTCCATAAAGTACGGCATAGCGTACGCCACGATCGGCTCCTCTTCCGTAATCGGCGAGTTGATGAATTCTTGAAGATACTCGCGCCACTTCAGCTGCGGGATTTCATACTGCAGCTCGCGCAGCGTCAACTTCCGGTAAATGGCCGACGTGTCGTGCCTATCAGCCTCCGCTATCGACGCCTGAAATTTTCATTCACAACACATTATTCGTATAAAAGACAAAATTTTTCTACGAAATCTCCCATAAAAGTAACCGATCTTTAACACGTATAGAAATATTTTACAATCATAAATCGTTATAATTTCAAATGAATAAATTTATAGAATTACTGATGTTCAGATAAGTAATTTCAAATAAGTAAATTTATAGAATCTCCGTCTATAAATAGAAACTGATGTTAATTTTTACGAAAATCTTACATTGTATTGTTCTAGCGTTCTAAATGCAACATGGACGTACGTACGTTTGCCAATTGTTTCTCCAAGTTGATCACGCGATTGAATTCTTCGGCAGCGGTTTGCGGATTAGCACCCATCAAGACAGCAACGTTCGTCATGTAGCGATGGTACGCGTTCAGTTGAGCCTCGCTGCTCTTCTTCAAGTAATAATCCCTGCTTGGCAACGCCACTTGCATCTGATCCAACTGCAGGGAGAATTTACAGCCATTTATATCGTCCATAATTTTCCATTCGCTTGAAAATTGGACGAACAAGCGTTAAAGCACGATCCAGCTAGTTTATCTTTATAATTCGTTGAGCGTAGAAAATTGGAAGAATCTACCAGAAGAGGAGCTTCATTCTAATTCCATTATAATTAGACTACGGATTTCTACGCATATTTGTATCTTTCGGACGACTGAACTTTGTGCCAGTTAGTTTTCTTCCATAAAAAATTTAATTTACTTACTTGTTGTTCTACTCTGAATGCCCTGTACATTATTTCAAACGTATTTTATTTTACATATCTCTCGCGTTTCGTCAGATCGAATGCACAAAAATACGCAGTCTGATGTGTAATTAGTATTTGTTGTACAATTGACATTGTTGTGTTCATTAATTATTTGATGAAAAGTATAATAATAAATTTTCATCAAGTAAAATTAAACTATTAGTGTAAATAAATTTTTCTCGAATTCCGGTAAACACTTAGTGCCAGGGAGTGTTTGTCTGTTTGTCTAAATTTCTGTCACAATGCTCTATCTTAGAATGTAAATCCAATTGTTATACTGTGCAGTCGTCGACCAAGGGCCTTACTTTGCCGGCGCACCTGCAGGATATTCACAGAGGAGTTCTTGTCATCTGGACCGACCCACTGTTCCAGTAACACACCCTCGTTGTAGTCTCCGCGTAATCGACCTAGCAAAACCTCGATCGAGTACGGCGGTGGCTTCCAAGATGGACCAATCACTGCTGGCCAACCTCCAAGGAACTTCAGTGTCCTTTTCAGTGGAGCATCGCCGATCTCCCTTATACGAGCTGCAAAAACCAGCCGCTAGAAACTACCCTTTCCCCAATGTTGTATAACAATGTTCCTTATCGCTTCGAAATATTATTTTCAATTATTTCAAAATTCCTCTCTCTCTCTCTCTCTCTCTCTCT